TGAGTTACGTATAGCTTTTTCAATCTCGTCTTTAGTAATCGATAGACCAGTTAGGGTGTTATCAATACTAACTGGGGGTCTTTCATCGTCAAAAAGTTCTTCTATATACTTTTCCCAAACATTGATTTTCTCATTGGTATCGAGGGCTATATGGTTATTATTATCAACTGTTATATTTGGTCTCATTTTTTTATATATGCCAGCAGTCTCCTTCAGCTTTTTGTGCAGATTGAAATCGTCGTACTGATTTTGTAGTTGTTCTATCTCAAGGCATTCCTGTTTGAGCCATTCGTTTTTTGCTATTCTAATCTTTGATCTTATAAGTCTTTGAATATCTTTGTACGTGCTGCCGTCTGTTTCGTTTTTATGTTTTCGACGTTCATCCATTAACAACAAAATTTCATCGGTCATCCATCTTTGTTTTTTGTTCTTTGCTTTATAACCTAATCTGTTTTGCATTGAGTTTCTTACAATGTCCATCATCCCTGTCCAAGATTGCGTAGGCTCTTCCCCAATGTTTGTTGTTATTGTCTGGATTTGTGTGTTTATTTCGTCGCACATTTCAGCCTTTATTATTGGATCCTTAATTTTTTCTAGTGCTATTCGTCGATGTAGGGCCGACTTTCTTTGATTCGACAAAGCAATCTTTATGACGGCTACCAATAGTACATGGTCAGAGGGCACATCTGCCCCAGGATACGTGCTGGCTCTTCTGACGGTTGAGTTGAATCTCCGGTTGATGAGGATGAAATCTATTTGATTCCGCCCTACATTTTGCAGGCGGTCCGCCGGGGACCTCCAAGTATAAAGGCGGCGAGGATGAAGCTGAAAGAATGTATTTGTGATTTTCATGCCTTCTTCCTGGCAGAATTGCAAGAGTCGATCACCTCTCTCGTTCCTTTCTCCAAGACCATATGGTCCGACCACACCCTCAAACTCACCCACTCCTACCTTAGCATTGAAGTCACCCATAATAATGTTGATGTCATGTTTTTTGGTCAGTTTAAGAAGTTCTTTGACTTCATTATAGAATTTTTCTACATCGTGGTCCGGTGAATCCGCAATTGGTGCATATACTTGTATTATGTTAATATCGTTTGGCTTAGCTGTGAGTTTCAGTAAAGCCGTGCGGTCCGAGTACGGAACAAAGCCCACAACAGATTTCATTAGTTCTTTTGTTATGACGATTCCCACACCTTTCCTGTGTTTAGGATCCTCATTGCCAGAGTAGAAGAATACTCCGTTTTCCACACTGCACTCCCCCGCATTAGGCCACCAGGTCTCAGCCACTCCTAGAACATCTAGCCCGAGTCTATTCATTTCTCGCGTAAGATTTGCTAGTTTTCCAGCTTCAAATAGGCTTCTCACATTCCACGTTCCAATCTTTAATGGTTTTCTTAGGTTTGCTCTTGTGTTTAGTACATTCAAAACCGTTCCCCCCGGAGATCCGACTGGGGAACTATTTAAACCTCCGGAAAATTTTGAGTCAAATGTACTCATGTTATTGTCTAGGGAAAAATAATAAAGGTGGTATCCCGTTGCCTTCCTTTATGCCAGTCTTGGCTTGGAAATCGGCCGCCCATTCTGGGTCAGACGCCGTTTGCAACCGCCCAATCTGGGAACAGACGTTGCCGTTGTGCTTTTATATTAACCCTAAAAGCAGGGCTGCCACTTACGCCGGATTCGCCGTATCGGGACTCATTTTTACGCCTTCACCGCCGGTGTGGTCTTCATTCGTAACCCTGAACAAGGGGCCCTTACAGGGTACTATCAGCCGGAGCCAGCTGAACCCAGGTTTTTTAGGGAGGTGTTACTCCTCGACCCCTCCTCCTTCCTTGCCTCTTGCGTGGCAAGGCCCCAGGCTTGGGACTGGTACAGCGGAGTTCTGATCCTTTCACAGATAACTATTGTGATATTGTCTATGCTCCGTGTCTAAAAAGTACAGATATAGGACGAACATTGCAAAATATGGAATAAAAAAGCTCAATCCGATTAGTCGAACATTAAAATTGAACGGTTGGTGAAATATGCAAAATGGAAGATGTGTATTTTGACTAGTAAAACACCTTTGTATTTGTATCGCAAGATTCGCTTCAGGACTGATGTTCACATCTTAAATATTCGTTTTAAGGGAACACTAACACCCCTCTCCACAAAACGGAACTATATAAAAATAATCTTCTGTTATCTGTTGCCACACACTAAAGTTTTGGGACTGCTGAAAACCGAACGGTATAGTTCGAACTACACCATACACTTGTCAATACGTGAACTGCGAACGCAAGCTTTCAAGCAACCAGTTAAACAAAAGATGTGAATCCCACCTCTGTCCCCATCGAGGCATATTAATAAAGAAAAATAGTTATCTGTTGCCACACACTTGTGACAGTTGAAAACCGGACGGTATACTTCGAACTACACCATACACGTGTCAATAAGTGAACTGCGAAGAAAAGCTTTCAAGCTAAGTACAAAGCAAATGATGCCCACCCCACACCTGCCACCAGCGAGGCGGCGATTGGAAAATCGGTTTTCCATGTACGTTATTTTAGTATGGGTGGTGCAATACTTGTTACTATTAATAACACCATAAATGTAAACAAGAAATAATAACTCATAACTGACAGTTGAAAAAATGAAACTTATTTAGTACAATACAAAATAGCATTACACTTGTTTGGGATGTTTAGAGTGTTGGTTTTTGCCGTGAGTATAGTAGGACCAGACATCTATTGAACGCATTACACAGGCCAATTTTTTCTTTATCAACAAAATCTCGGTTGATTACAACCGAAAAAAAAATCAAAATTGAATCAAAAAGTCTCAAACAATCTTTAAGTCCATTTATTTTTGGAAGTTCTCCCCGTCCTGGCCGAAAAACTGCCTTTAGTGGATTTTCTTGTATATTCCAAGGCATGATTGTTTTACACTCGTATTACATCACATTTTTCTAAATTTCTCTAACATGTTTTCTGCAATGTCTTTGTAATTTCGATATTCTTTGTGTCCTGGAAAACCTTTTAGAATGAATGAAACCCATGCAATCTTTTCAGATTTCATCATACTATTCACAAAGTTTTTTTAATTTTGCAGCTAAGATAACGGGAAATTTTCCACATAGGTATTTTTGTGATCCATGTTTATTTAAAGCTCTAACATACTGCTTCATCAGCTTTAATTCGTTGTGCTACGGTGGTAAGAGAATTTTTCGTGGATCAATGATACTATCGTTCCTTCTTACCCAATGTTGCAGTTTGTTTCTACTGTCAAAGTAACCACAACTCAATCAAACTATGGTCCTTGTATTTGATTTTCTCATTCAGTATTCCAGATTTTCGTATCATTTTTTCTATTGCACAGAATGAGCTGGAACATGTTAATTTTTAGAATATCATGTATTGTTAAAAAATACATACGACATCTCAAAAATTAATTAAAAAATTTTGGGTGATAGGAAGAAACAAAAAAGATTGATTTATACCAAATTACAAAAATTTTGTTAGCGTTTGTTATTATCTATTGTCCTTAAGACCTAGTAGGTCGTCGAATGAATATAGGAGTGATGTGTGTGTATGTGTGTGTGTGAGAGAGAGAGAGAACGGGAGTTGTTAACAAGAAGCAAGTGTTTTTGTTACTAGCCGTGTTTTGCTTAGTTTTTTCTTTGATTTTGAATCACGATAATGCACCTGCTCCCCCATCATTGGTTTTTGGCCCAAAACAAAACCAGAATCATGCCTCAGCCACCATATTCACCGGATAAGCCCCCCTCCGACTTTTGCCCGTTCCCAATACTCAAGAAACCCATGAAGGAAAGAAGGGTTACATTAATTTTGTTGAAAAAATAAATACTTTATGCTAAAACCTAAAAGTCAGTATACTTTTTGAACACACCTCGTGTGTTAATTCCAAATTTTCCTAATATTCGTTGGCAAATTATTTAAAATCGGACAGACAAGACCGGATAAACAATAAGAGTTGAAAAAGCATCCATTCTAGTTTATGTTTTTAATACTTTTTAATTCCTTTCACTTCATTGAACAATTAAAAAAGATATTCGTACACAGACCGATACCTTAATGCATGGTCATATCATCATCCAGCCCAAAAATCATCGGTTATCAACTTTCTTGTTTACAGAGCCATAAAACTATCTCACCGCGAGTCTCTGAACCCAGAATTAAAACACCTTACCTCTGCTCTTCTATCTAATATTTTCCACATTAAAGGAATAAGCGTTCCATCAAAAAATATACTTCACCACAACATTCCAATAGCAATGAGGCCGAAAGCAATCTTACACTTGCCATTGTGGTCCTTCCTTACATTCAAAACATCACTGACCACATATTAAAAGTTGTAAAGAAATATAACGTCGAAACCAGATTTACCAAAAATCTCTCAACATCTTGGACCCGCCAAAGACAAAATTCCATTTAAGTTTACAGCATTACATGCATATGCGGCAAAGAGACCGGACGGAAAATATCAACTAGACTCAAAGAACACGAAAGAGCGTTACTGCAAAGACAAATAAACTCATCAGCTGTTGCAGAACATAAAACCGGACATGAAATTTTATTCGATAAAACTGACATTCTTGCATGTAACCAATTCTTCTACCAACGAAAAATGCGAGAGTTTATAGAAATCTATATGCAACCTAACAAATCTTAACCGCGACTCAGGTCTCTACTTGTCACCAATATGGGAATCAGTCATTCAAGACTATGTTTATGCGCCTCATTTAGCTCCGGCCCCCCTCAAACAATATATAAGCAAGTACAGAGTACAGTCAAGCTCTGAAGAAGCCAACAGGATGATTGGCGAAACGTCAGCAAGTTCGACTCAGCAAAAACCGACGCATGAGGAATCCAGAAGTTTTGTAAAAAGTATCGATTGTTATAATTTCATGCTTACTTTCACTCGTAATTGGGGATGTTTAGATTGCATTTAAGTATGGGGTAAATGTCAGGCTTCAGAAACACTTTGTATTGTTCCAGAGCAAACCGCCCCCATGGCGTGAGCGTGCCATGCACTTCTGGCAGTACATGGAGATCGCCATTACTCTCTGCGTCGGTGGGTTCATAGTGGCCGGCCTGCTAATGTGTTACACGTGCGTGTTCAGGCAGCTCTTTTGTCCGCCGCGGCGTAGAAAAGACGACCGTGCGGGCAATTCGAGCCGACCTAGCCCGGAATCGATATCCCTGAAATATCTGACCCATGTGAGCAGTCAACCGACCGATACCAGCCAAGTATGATTGTCGGACGTCGTCGACCACGTCGAAACCGAGTGCCGGTAAAACTGCGAACTTTTTTACCGACGCGTTTCGCGCGCCTTCCGACCACAGAGTAAACTTCCCACAGATGCGACCAAAGCGTTCGGTCCGACACGCGTTTCCGTTTCAGTAGCGCCGCACTGTGGGGTATTTAATATTTTATGAACGAAATTGAAAAGGTTTTTAATTTATACATATTGCATTCAGCTGCGATTTAATATTGCGATAGTCGAGCAGATATGTGTATTATCCTACTTTTGCAAGAGTAACATGATTTTTCCCAAACTTATCAAGTTTCTCTGAATTTGTTCGGGTGCAGTTTGCCGGTATTCCCATGCCTGGATTGTCAAACATGTTACTATTGTTTTTAATGAATACTGTTTCCTATGGACAACGCGTGCTTAGGAAAAAAATCCTCTGCTGGCTTGCTTCGTCACTGCATATTGTGATTGCTCTCTTGCAGAGTGTTTAGATTATTTCTAGTTTGGTTCCTTCAGAATGGTTGGACTTAAAATTTACCCTCGTTTAGTTTCCCTGTATAGAATCATTTTTTATATTTATTAGGACATCTAGAAATGATAGATAGCCGCTCTGCTCTTTCTGCTGCCTATGTGTTGCAGATTAGGCAACGCTGAACGAAAAGTGAACTTTTAAGACTCATGTGGACAGAGTAATAAGCATATCGAATGAGATCCATAAAAATAAACATAAATAACAAAAATAAATAAATAACAAAAATAAACTCAAAATTATATAACTTTGCTGCTTGATGAGTAATTTTCTGAAAATTTTGAAATTCTGTCGAAAGTTTCTCAAATTTCGTTGATGGTAAATTCTTTTTGTAAAGGAACAGGCTACACGTAAAAAGAATAATGAGGAAATGGGACAGTATTTACACGTTAAAATTCAGGATTGAATTCAAATTAGTCGCATTTTTGAATCTAAATACGCAAAGATTCCAGACTAACAAACGTTTAATAACATCTGGTAGACAAATTTTGTTGTAAGTGTTTTGATTGATTGATTTTTTTAGATTTTCGATTAGTTCTATATTGTTAATACCCCAGTGTGCTGATATTCAAGTGCTGCATAATCCGCCTGTTTCAATTGGTATTCTCAACTTTTAACAATAAATAGCCACTTAAGAAGTGACGTCACAGTGTTCGTCGCTTCTGTATGATGTCGATTCTGTGGCCGGACTTGTGACAGGTGTCACCGGCGGCGCAGTTGAACTTTTTCGCGAAGATGGTGTAAATAGAACCTTATTCGACTGTAAATTAATCATCTAATGTGTAAATATTGTCGTTGAGGATTGTAATATAGTGATTAAGACACAAATTATTAAAATACGCAGATGACGCGACAAGAACTTATTTTTAAATACGCGTATTTATAAGAATAAATATATATTGGACTAAAATATGTCTCTTTCTTCTTCTGCAAGCAAAAAATTACTCAACCGCTTTGAGACCTTGACCTAAGGACTTTTCAAAAAGTTTTGGCGACCACGAAAAATCAAACTCGAATATAATAAATTACTGTTGGTCTACTTAAAATAAATAAAAAAAAAAACGTCCAAAAAGTTGTCAGTCACAACTCATGCTTTGAGGTTTCATCTACAATGTTTAACCTTTACCAGTAGTATGGATATCCCTGTTCTGCATTCTCTGTCCCACTGGAGACATCTGGAGATGTCAAAATTACAGATTCCTAACCAAAGAGTTCGGTCTTAGCGTGGCCATTCATCGACAGATGGCAGTGCAAACCATATTCCGGATTGCTTATTAACCAGACACCGTAGTAGATGGCAGCGCAAACCAAATTACAAATTTTAATTATTTTTATTGTTATTAAACAAAATGGCGGTTCAATTAAATACAGAAATAAATTTGAAAGTTGACAAAGGTTTTTTTTTCATTTCCCATATTCATATCTGGGCCTTACGCTGTCAAATTCTCCTTTCCCCGATGTCTTTCGCGTTCTTTCCTTGTTAAAAGAAACACGTAACGACATCCGAAGTTCCGTTGGAACGGGGGAGGCACACTTTTGCCCTTGAGCTTCCATCCCTCCGAGGCCGTGACCCTTCGAAAGTTTCCGACGGAATTTATATTTACTCGATTTGGTATCTACGCGGGACGTGATGTGAGGCTCTACCGGGTTCGCCTTTTTCGTAAATAAGGCGGAACTTTTTTTTTAGTTTTAATAATAATAATGGGTTTTATTGCCCAACAGTATAGAGTCTACAGGATAATATACAGAAAAAAGACAATTCAATGGAAGATAGAAACATATAAAATAAATATTTTCATTCTTCTGCTGGAGTTGTTCTTGTGTTAAGGTCGTTTAATAATAATAATAATAATGTATTTCATATTAAAATATTTATATACTGGTAGTGATATTCTTAACAAATTAAGAAAGTACAATTGTGAAAAATTGACATCAATATTTTGACTTTGAAGTTTATGTTTATTATTAGCAGCTAAGACTATATTTAATTGTTGTTTTTTTTTTCGACACTATTATTATAAAAGAGTGGATTTGATTTTTAATTTGATAATTTAAACTACTAATATATTTTCGACTGGTTACAGAATTTATTTCATTTTTAATGTGAAAAACTTCCTTTATTGCCAATTTTTGATAGTTATTATCTTGCGATAGATTTTAGTTTCTTTAAAATAAAACTGAAGGTTGTTTTGACATTTCAATACATTTTTTGGCAATTTAAACACGGTATTGAATGTACATTTGATTTCTTTATATTTTCTTTATCACACAATTGAGGATATACAAAATATATACTAAGAAAAAACTTGAAAACTATGATCTCTTTAAACAGAAATATAAGAAACGACAAAAACAAATACAAATGTCAAAGTTTGTTTAAATCTTAACGCGTCAAAAAAAAATTGTGATGTCATAGCCAACTACGCTTTTAAATATTTTGATATTTCTTTGTTGTTTTGATGCCAGATGAAATGAGCATTTTAAGAGACACATTTTTAACTATACTTTATGGACCGAATTAACGAACCCTTTTTAGTTCACTTCTTCTTTATAGATTTATTAATTATTTATTTTAAAGAAGTAGCATCATGTCTTTGGTATTGCAATATCTAATATTGCCAAGAAGTGACCTAATGTGGGCAGCTTTAAATTCAACAAGAATTTATACGGGTGTTACCTTAAACCTCGAATATCTCGATCAGTAGGTAAAATTTAAATATAAGATAAATTACACAATTACCTTATTTTTTGTACTAGAATTGTTATCCGAATTAAAATATAAGGTGTCCCATTTGAAAATCTTGAGATTTTGTTAATTGAATTCGCCAAAACCGCACCATCTACTTGGGACACCGGGTATAAGCTGGAGCGCATCTGTCAAACTAGTTAAGTAGTGCATCATCTCCTTAGTCTGTGGTTAAATTTTCGTCGCAATATCTGTATCAGTAGCGTCACAACACAATTGTATATGGGCCAGTCGAAATATGAAAAAAAAATCACATAACCTCGAATTTTGCATAGTTTATGCAGGAATTTCTTAAGGAAGTAATCTTTATTTTAACCGAGGATTTATAAAATATAGGGTGTTCCATTTAAAATAACAAAGTTTTGTTACACCCTGTATCAACAAAATTACGATATTTTAAATCTGCAGGAGAGTCCAAGAAACTTTTGTATGAAATTTGATTTTGTATCTCGTATGGGTTTCCAGATCATTTTATTCTGCATATCATACACAATTAAATTTAAAAAAATACATCAAAAAATGTATTCGGAACTAAGTGATGACGCAAATACGCTCTCTAATAAAGCGACAGGACAGGGACGCCTCGGGGTAGCGTCCCCGGACGTCCACAAATCTCGTTTTATGTGATAAATGAAATTACTTTGTCCTGCACCCCACATTCCGGTTATAGAGACACAAATTTTCTTTTCCCCGACCCTTTCCGCGAGTTAAGATAAATTTACGTTAGCCGTTTCGATCGGGGCCGAAACCCGTTGACATTTTATCTAAATTAATAGTTGCGCTTCTGGTTTCTTTGGTTCACTTTCTTCTCTGTAACGATTTTACTACATCGTCATGTTTTTTATCTTTTTTTCTGTTGCTCTGTAACGGCGTTAAAATCTCTATAACTCGGGAGTTTTTGGAGCTACATTGCTGAAACTTTCTCCCATTTAAATATGAGTCTTATATGACCGTGGGGACCCTGATTTCTCGATGATTCTTCCTCAATTTTGGAGTTTGCTAGGGAATACTGTGAGTCAAAATAAATAAGAACTAAAAGTTCAGATGTTCACGAAATTATATATTAATTAATTAATGTTGTTGCGAGAATTTAAGTTCAATAAAGGAGAGGTATTTAAATCTAATTGATCGTTAAGCAGTACATTTGAATGTCTCATTTTGTTAATCTTCATAGCTTCTAATAAATTTAATTTTCTACTTTTTGTGGCTGTGTGTAATATATCAAAATTGTCGTCAAAAATGTGTTTTTCTGTGTTTAAGTGTGTAGCATAATTAAAATCTAGACTATTGTTTTTAAACGCTCTTATATGTTCGTTAATGCGTTTCTTGAAGGATCTACCTGTTTGTCCAATATAAATTTTATTGCAAGATCCGCATTTCAACTTGTACACACCTGATTTTTGAGATTTTGGACATTTCGATTTATTGCTTTTTAAATTTTTTCGCTAGGTTCTCCTATGTATGTAATTGTTTTAAATTGTTCGTGTTCTGTATTTGGTTTCGGATAAATAGAGTTTACTGTTGTCTGTATTTGTTTTTTATTTATAATTTTATCTATAATGGACGGATTGTAGCCGTTGTTCAGTGTTATTTGTTTAATGATATT